CTTGCTGAGCACCATGTGCATCTTAGTCCAAATTAGAATTGGACTTATGCCTAGGCCAACCCAAAATAGAGCACTACCAGTTTTGGTGGATCGTCCAACATCACCATCGGATTGTCCGTCAAGACATCTCACAGACTTAGGATAATCTTGGCAAACCCACGCACTGACGGAGTGTCTACCGTCACGGCGGAGTGTCCATCGAAAACCTTAAATAGCCAGTCAGTCTGTCAGACATGGTCAGGCACTACGGATCGTCCGTCGCTCATGGCGGACCGTCTGTCAAAATCGGGCAACACCTGTCTCATGCAGCTATTGCATTGTCACACACACACACACACACACCACTGGTCCCACTTGTCAGCCCACATGTCACCACCACACCCACACCAACACACCAGCCCTCCCTCTCTCTCCCTCCCCATTTCTCATTCATGTGAGAAAGGAAACAAGAGAAGGAAAGAAAGGAGAGAAGGAGAGGAAGAGAGGAAGAAGAAGGAAGGAAGGAGGAGGACACCGACCAATGGCCGGAGGACGACGCCGACGAGCTGCTACACCGCATCCATGCCACCACCTCGCCAAAGTTGGAGGAGGAGAACTCCCAAGCTTCATCTTCTTTCCCGAGCTTCCATCGTGCCTCGAAGTCGATCTCCATCCTTCGAGGAAGACCGAGCCAAGCTACTGCTACTGGAGGTTGCCAACAATGTGGTGAGCACATACCCAAAGTCCCCAACCATTTCCCTCAACCTCCCATGGCCATCCCATGAGCTTCACCTCTCATCCATGGCCACCACCACCATGGATGAAGTCGAGCTCAACACACACCATGCATGCCACATCTATCACTTGTAGAAGCTTCCCTACATCACTAGTAAGCCATAGAAACAAACCACATTCGATTTGGAGCCCAGATGCCCCAGAAATCATCTCTAACGTTTTTACACCCGAGCTGTTCGTCGTTTTACAGGATGGTCCGTCATTCTCGCGGACAGTCCGTTAGCGCCAGTGTTTGTCCCAGCGAAATGCCCCACACGCATAGGTTTTCACTGGCAGACTGTCCGTCCGAATTCGCGGACTGTCCGCTGTACCACAACAGCACAACCCCAACTTGTAAAGGTCATAGAAGATGCATTTGAACTCCAAAAATTGTAAAACAAGTTTTATCGTGTTTTTTAGGATATTGTCTATCATCTAGGCATGATATTGACACAAAAAGTATATCTTAATTTTGACTAAGAATAATGCATTTATAGTGTACTAAATAGACAACTTATTCTCAATGTCTCTAAAGTCATGAAACTTGCTTTGTTAGCTTGCCTTGGGCATGTGATGTTTGTGAGACATGTTTTGTGCACCATCTCATTATGTTCATGCAATTAAGCTTAACTCTTGTGTCTCACATACTATAATTTGGCGGAATGTCCGCCAAATTTTAGAGCTTGGTCTCTAAATAAATCCGAGAGCTCCTAGTTCTTACCAGAGTGTCCGTTGTCTATCACGGACCGTTCGATGAGGACTAAACAATGAAAATGTGTAAGTCCCAAACCTAACAGAGCATCTATGAGCCGTGATGGAGCGTCCGTCAGTGCATACCGACAGCACAGTAATGCTTTGTTACATACACATGTTACACACACCTAGTACCATGTACCTAATAGTTAATCATACACATGTCTAAGCATATCATAGCACACATGGGCATCATATTTACTGTATTCATACGATGACATGCATACATACATATCTCATACATGTGCATACATATAGGTACTCGATATCGGAGAGACGCCAAGTGATGTTCCAAGCTAAGGGAACCTTGCTCTTCCAACAGGCAGGCACCCCACTACTATGAACCCTATTTTGGATACTTATTTGTGTTTCATTATGAGTTATGCATCTCATCCAGATTTGGTTAATAACTTAATGATTCTTCACTAAGTTAGAATTACTCACCAATTAATTAGAGCCTTCATTTAATCAATGGGTTGGTAGCGCTTAATTGCTTACTTGCTTAGCAACGGTAGAAGTCGAGTATGAGAAGGGAACTCATGCTTGCACGAGTAGGATGCTACACCGGGTTAATCAACTACTAAAATGAATGAGGGGATTAATTTGATTCTTAGGTAATCAAATCAGACTAGGATAATTATAAATCCTTATGGCAGGTCTTTCCCTATTCAAAAGAGAGTATCAGTACTTTCCAAAATTGATTTGTTTCCAAAACGAATTGTGACCGATTTATCAAACAAAAGGCTTGCGAAAAGGTTTTGTTTTATAAAGTCTTGATCCCTTCTAGTTTCAAAGGTGTCGCTTTAGAAAGGCTTTGGGAAAATCAATTTGTTTGCGAAAGCTTTACCTTTCAAAAGGAGAAATGATTTCAAAGCAAAACAAGTATCAAAACCCTTTGGTCTCCCAAACCTGCCTTATGGGACCAACCTTAACTTGAGACATATTCTGATGGTCACCTTGTTACTCTCTAATCTTGCGAGGGGTAAGGTCACCGTGAGTGTGGGATCTCAAGTCACATAGCTCGTGGAGCAGCTAAGGACCGTTCATTGGATAGTGAGTCCGAGTAACCACCCATATAGACCACATGTTGCGGATGGGGTCGACAAGCCAAGTAACTAATTGCGACCTGTTTATCCGTGAAACTGGCAAGGGTGTGGCGTCGGTCAGGAATGTCCGGGACATTGACCAGGCACCCGCTCGAACCTTTCATGTGACACTCGAGCTGGATTAGGGAAAGGTTGGAGACGTGAGGCAACCCTTATCTCTGGTGCACAAGATATGGAGGTTCGTTCCGTTTCTCCGTGTGGGTACAGTTGTACACCTCTGTAGAGTTTTAAAAACCTGAAGTCCTTCGGGACGGAACCGGTTGTTCCTTCTTCTATACCCATTGTAGTGTTTGATGATGAAACTTGTTGGTGATATGAATTACATAGGTGGAACACTTATCTTACTATCATGAATCTTTAATGCTAACACTTCTAATTATGAATCTTGCGCTTTTATGCAAACATTAAGATGCCTATTAATTCCTTTGCATCCACCAGATATTTATATGTTGGAATTAAGTCCCGTGAGTACTCAATATACTCACGATGTTGCCATTAAGTTGTTTTGTAGGTAAAGGACATTGGCGGCCATCTCACTCCGTCGTCAGTGGCAAAGTGGGTGAATGGTAGGAGCCGTCCAACTTATGGTGACGACGCCCATGGGCAGGGCAACCACTAGTTATTAGCTATATGAGTGACCCGTAGCATAGAGGTGTTGGTAAGATAGTAGTTGGTTCTCACTACATATGATTGAATTGAGTAATTGTCTTCTTTAATGTTGTATAATTAACTTGTTAAATTCAATAAGACTTGTAATATATGTTTTTCGCTAGATTATTATGTACTCCGATGATGAGATATAATCTTGAGTTGTGTAGGCTATCATGGTATGATACTCAACTTGATCCTGAAGAGGAGTTGCCATGTGTGCTCTGGGGGGTCGTCGAGGTTGGTTTGCTTAAATTGAGCTGGTCAAGAGGATGACACTCGTTTTATGTGAATAAACGCGATGGGTCCCTCACATTGGGGTATGCAGCATGAGGTGCCGCTACCGGGCCGAGGCGTGGGCGCCACCGCTGTCGAGCCAGGCGAGGGCACCGACGCCGCAGTGGAGCCAGTGTGAGCACGACCACGGGGGTGTGGGAGAGCGCGACCACTGAGGCACAGGCAGGCGCGAGCATCGCCGCCGAGGCGTGTGCTATTTTGTCGATGCTTAGGTGGGGAAGAACACATGGAGAAGAAAACAAAGAAAGAAAAGGAAAGAAGAAAAGGGCATTCTAGTTATTGCTTCTTTTGTTGCATCATGTAAAGTTATTTTGACAAAATGAAATGCCAAAAATAATACAGTTTCAAAAAAAAACCTTTAAAAACATCAGGTTCACTGATGATGAAGCTGAGCTATGCCGAACAGGCCTTAGAAATCGTCGCAAAGTCTAGAGCTCACGGTGATATGTCATCTGAATTACATCCGAGTTAAGTACGCATAGCCACGTAGCTTAATATACCCGGGGTCTCGCTATTGTGTACGAGCGTAATGTTATATTTTGTCTATATAAGGCCAATCTCAATTTATAGTTTCATTTTATTGTAACTGTTTTCAAGTATGCCACGTCAATAAATAATATTTTATTCATGGTTGAAACAACTTTCTACGGTGCATAGCTCGTTTCATTTTTTATGTTTCATACCTACTCAATGGATTTAATTATCTGTGATAAAAACAAAGTTCTAGAGGGCTAAAATGAAAAATCCACAGACCCACTCGCAAGTGAGAAAACATGTTGTGCAGATTTGCAAATGGACCTTGGAGAATCAGGGTTGATTAAAACCCACTCGGTTCCGCTCGAACCGGAGCATTCGGGACTCCGTGGCTCATCTCGACGCGGACACGTCTTGACTGTTTTTCCGAAACACCCTCTGAGTTCGCATAAATAAACCCATAGTCCAATTTGGTAAGGTCCTACAGTAAACATGTTCAGTTATTTTACATTTAAGACCCTAATATAAAACTTAACAGAAGAAGAGAAAAATAAGATCTCCTTCATTTTTGCATAAAACCGCCCGCATGCAAATTTATAGAGAGGCCCTCCCGTTGCCCATCGGCCAGCGCTCCCACCCCGACGTTATTCCCCCGCATTCGTGTCTCTCTTCTCCCCGGTCCCCGCCGCCACTGCTTTACTCGCTGCCAGCCGCACGCGCCTCCTCGATTGCGATGTCCAGAGCGGCATGGGCGCCGCCGTGGCTACTCGGGTGCTACGCTGAGATCCCACGGTAGCCCCTTGCGCGGAATCGGACGTCGTTTCTCTTTCATCCGTGCCTTCTCTTTTTATAGATCTATTTGACATTCGGCTCTGGGCAGACCTGGCAGGTTCCAGATCCAGCGAGCTTCCACCGGCTGCGCCCGGCACGGGGCCTCCTGTGTTGAGCGAGCGTGCTGATCCTGGAGCTATGGCGGCGGCGAGGGTTGGACAGCGTTGTCCGGCGTGGATGCGTGGCGCGTCAAGGAGGTCAACGAAGTCTGCTCCATGGCGGTCCCACGCAGGTACATACTCCTCGCGGTGCCTTGCCCGTCTGCCCTCTGACTCCATCGCTGCATGGACAGGATGGCCGCCACATGACGGGATGTTGGAGGCGGCGTTGGCCATCAGACCAGGCGCACGTGGTGGTGTTGGCCGGCGGCCTGGACTAGCGGATTCGTCGCATACCCTGCAGGTTCGGATATGATCTCGTCATCTAGCTGATTCGCCTATAGTCCCTTCCTTTTCCTCTCCAGTCCGCAGCGCAGTAGGAATAGACCGGAAATTTTACAGAAGATCATCACGTGATGTGCTTAGATGTTGTTTCCTTCATTCATTTAGTACAAGTGACCATCTGCTGCAGAGTTTTCCCCTAAAATTTCGGTAGTTAGAATGTATAGGATGGGAAATTTTATTGTTTCACTTAATTACATATTGATCTCATTGGAATTGTTTCAGGATTGGCGATTATCCATTTACAAAGCTGATTATTTACCTCAACCCCTGATCTCCATTGATGGATTCTTCTTCGTCATGGGTCAGGCCCAATCTCTCTTCCGCTCAAGATTATCGAATTCCCTAATTCCCATGTGAACCAATTTCAATCAATAACCTCTTAGCCTATACCTGACATTTGCTTGCTGATTGGATTTTATTGCAGATTAGTCTATGAATTTCCTCTGTGACCATCCTAATCATCAGGAAGTGGTATATGTTATTTTTATACGTCTTTTTCGTCCTAGCATTATTTTCAACTAAAACAGTTCACTGTTTGATGCCATCCATTTTATTTGTTTCTATGGTGGCTCTTGCAAATTTAATGAAGTGAGGCTGACCTTTTTTGTACAATGTTTTTACTGTAAATTTGATCACGGCGTAGACAATTCTATGGGAAACATTTAATCCAGATGTGATCGAACTGAAGAAGCCAATGCAGTGAAAACTCCATACAGTAATTTAATGATTTCCAGGTCACTCGTGTGCATGACGCTCTGACTCTTAAGACACTACAGCCTTGGGTACCTGATTAACACTATACAGCACTATGCATGCTTAACACTGTACAGTACTTTTTCTTTTTTCCCGATTGCTGTTCAGGCCATACTGGTGTCTCCATTAGTGGGAACTAAAGGAAAACTCAGTTTCCATCTACTGCTAATTTGGTATAAGACATATCCTGGCTTTTCAAAGGTCTTGATTGATGTTAAATGGTAAGAAGAATGATCCTAAACCAAAATGTAATGAATAGTCGTGTAATGTATGGTTACATAGAACGCTGACGGCTGTGGTTGCAATATAAATTGTACTCTATTTGTGTAACATGGCTGTCTCCGTATATAAATATATGTCCATAGACTTTAGCTACCACCTGATTATAAGTCCATATGATGAAGTCTGAATAACATCTTGTTTTCTTTAATGGGTCAATCAAGTTTGTTCAACGCAGCTAGCTAGAGGGGAAAATAATACTATGTTGTCATTAGATTTCACTATTTTGTCTAATACTTGGATATATCATGCGTTGATGTTTTATTGTGCACCTTGAACTAATGAATCCTCCTTGAAGGTTAACATGGTTTAACAGAATGAGAGTTGAATAGTTTCTATCTGATTTTGTACTCTGCTCTCTGATTACTTTTTCCATTTACTGGGTAGTTCGGCTGCTGACTGGCATCTAACATTTATCATCAAGGGACCTTGCCGTTGTAATGATTAGCTGTGTGTTTTTCGGAAACCTCGTGGCAGCAGATTGCAGATGTAGCTTATTGGTCTTTTGTCTCTGACATTGAGAACCTATTCTAATGATTTCTGTGCACATCTGGATCGGAATTTGACAAGATGTTCTGTAGTCATGAATTGCAATTGTGAACTATAATGAATAGCTATTTAACGTGTGGTTCAATAGAACTGTAAGGGCCGCGGTGATCATGCATGTACTGAATGGCCATGAACTCGATGGCTGAACAGAATCATAAGGGCTGTGGTGGCCATAAAAACCATAAGTGTGCTCCCTATTAGGACATGGGATATGTGATTGGTTGTTTCGTAATTTTTGCTACGTACTTATTGGTGTGATACGCCTAATCTTGGGTGCTGGTGACGTGGTGATGATGTCAATGACTATGAAAACCAATGTTTGTGGTTGGATCTTAGTGTTAATATATTTAATTTTAAAACCATGCCTATCTAGTGAGGGGATTTGCTTATGTTTTCAAATCATTATAGGGTGCCCGAAGGGCGCCTAATGTTCTAAGGGCGCCTAATGTTATAGTAAAACTTCACGACCCACATCTAAACCTAGCTATCCTTTCAAAAGTGAAGGGAACATTAAAAACCCAACCCCCTGTATTTATTGGTAAGACTCGACAATAATTTTGAAAGCAAAATAAATAAACTATATTGATTTTTTTGCATCAATAATGTTTGATCCCCTTCCGCTAAAAAGAATTAAGGCCCTCATTGGATCAGATAATTTTTTTATAAGTTGCACTTGCAATAACTGAAGGAAATCAGCTAATAGCTTTTTATAAGCTAGGTGGTTGAACAGTTCAAACTATAAAGGTGGGTTGTTTGGATCAGCTAGAGAGGATTTTTAGCAGCTAGCAACTTATTTTAGTTAATCCAAACACGACCTGAACCAATCCTTGTAGTGTGTATTGTTAAAAAAATGCCGAACTAATCTAAGATATCTAGGACAAAATATATTTTTTTAGAAGAGACCATCTCAAGTTGTCTAAACGAGTAGACATTTTTTTAAAAAAACCCAGTTAACTAACAAAACTTTATTGATTTTGTCAAGTAGTGTTATTCCAATTCGATTGTGCTTTGCAAACAAAAAAAGTCTACGAACAAGAACACACTTTCATGAATTGTGTGCTGATACAAATAGGCAAATGAAATCAAAATCAAATCAATCCTTGTAGTGTATATTGCTGAAAACTGTTATATTTAGAATGCGACAAGTTGTCAACAAATATTCAAAATCCGAACACCTAATAAATTCACCATAGTTTTCATTTGATACTTGAAAAATAGTCCATAAAATTCCCCATTTCAAAAAAATCAAAATAATTATTTTGGAGACCAAGTAATTGGTATTGTTTGAATAGGCAAGTATATACTTGATGCTACCGTGCACTTAACGCAATATTTAATGTGTACCATTGATCACTGTTTTTATTTGAATGTTTATGGAACCAACCTGCGCACGCAAAATTATGTTTCTAAATTAAACATTAAAAGTTTATTGGTAATAAAAAAATTAAATCTTTGATTAAACGCTACTCCCTTGGTACCAAAATAATTGCATATCCGTTTTCGGAGAAGTCATATTTTCATAAATTTTGACTATTTATTCTATCTCCTAATATATTTATGAAAACATGTTCACTATTAATCTAATGCCGCTTATTATGTGTCAGAAGTATTACTATGTTTATAGATAATATTTGTTTAAACTAAAAAATATATATTTTATGAAACGACGAATGAGGACGACTATTGATGGTGGAAATGTCACACTTTTACATACCCAAAATCACCGTCAACGGCCTCAGAATGAAGGGAGATAAGCATATCACGAGTATATTTTACCCAATAACTAGTTCCACATGTCCATGGAGTATTTCTACGCAGGAGTAAGCTAAACAAGCAAAGTGGGGCCAGGTGGGCCACCCCTCAGGGTCGGGCAACCCTAGGTGGGGTCGGCTGACCTCACTTTGGCCCCATCAAGCTTTGCCAAGCTGGCATGATCCATGTGACACCTCTCAAAATCATTCTCCACCCTTGATCAACTTGTGTTTCTTCTCAAGGGCTCATATTCACTTCACATGGATCCATGGGCCCACATGCAAGTGAACCGACATCAAATGGACATACCTCAGCATATACCCAATCTAGCACTACTACAGATTGACTTATCACTATCGCCACTTTCACTGTCGTAGCGATAGAAGCGACGGTGTGATACCTACACCGTCGGTTGACCGATAGCGAGGCCTCGTAAGGACGAAAACCGACAGTTGAAACTGCTACCACCGACGGGTTAATGGTAGATGCGGCAGTGGTATTGGGGTTGCATTTCCTCCGTCGCATGAAAAGCCGGGCCGACTTTGATACGCGTTTTGGTCGGCGGTCCAAAACTAGCGTTTGGTCAACCGACGGTAAAAATTCAGCATGAGTGTTGAATGCCCTCAACTTCCAAAGCCGTCAAATCACCATTATTTCCGCCGCCTAAAGCCAAAGAGCCATACCCACTGCTCTACATATTGTTCAAGCCTGGTGCCCTCTAAAACCACCCCTTTTCTTCATCCATCACCCCTTCTCTTCCAATCTGCAAAGAAAATATCGGACAACCCCATCAAGTTTCCAAGCAGCCCATCGTCCAACGAGGATGACTTGCTAGCCCACCAGTCCTCCGAGGAGGACGTCTCCTCCGACCACTGGATGCCTTTTGATTATAGTCCTCCGTGGAGCTCCGAGAAGGAGGACCCAGAGGAGGAGGACGACGACGAGGATGAGGAGGACGACGCCGCTGCCACCGCCGACTCCGACTCCGACTCTGACTTTGACTCACATCCTCCCAAGCGAGCGAGCCAAGCATGATCCTCTTTTACGAGAGTATCATATTTAGATTAAGTAGTTTATAGTTAGTGTAAGTAGTTTTAATAGTTTAGGTTAGTTATTATGTTTCCGGACGAGTACAATCGTATACTCGTCCAAATTGTATTTATTTGTATATGCAATGAATCAATGAAAAGAAGTTCTTTGAAATATTATGTTTAATACTGCTGTTCTTGCTATCTATCTTTGATCCTTGCTATATTCCAGGAGATATTGCTATGCGACGATTTTTTCTTTTTCTGTATATATATATCTATATATATGAATGAAAAGTAAAAATTGTCATGTATGGTTCCAATTCCAGGAGAATCTAATAGCAGTTCAACTGCTGACAATCGTTGTATTATAGCATTGGATTAGCATGGCAATGGTCGGCTTAATACGGATACTGTTTACCTTATCCCGCGTCGTCCGTTCACGCTGCCGATCAATCTGGATTGTCCGTTTGGAAAAGAAACCTAGAACTGCTCGGTCCGTTCCCCAACTCCCCTCAGCCTAGTCGGCGCATTGGCGGTTGTTGGAACCACTAAAAAACCCCAATACAAAGCCATTAGTTCTCCCCACCTGTTGCTTCATCTTCATTCTCCCCACCAGTTGCTTCATCTTCATTCTCCCCACCCACCTTTGCTTGTCCTGCCTCGAGCACCTTGCATTGTCATCGTGGACAACGACCCGTGAAGGTTAGATGGATTCGGTCACCCCCCTGCTGTTTGCATTTGGTTCCAATTGGTTTTGGGTTCGGAATCAGTTTTGTTCATATTAGGAATTTCTTTATTGCAATAGATGTCTTACCTCGCAAGAAGCCATTACAATACGAGCAACCTCACCTTTTGGCGGCTAGGGGTGGCACCAGGACCCTAGATGTTGTTGTTTGCTATTTGGGGATGGAGCATTCACCCGGACCGACTGTTGATTGTTGAGGCCGCTGTTTGTCACCTCATCGGACCACAAAATTTGACAAGAATCATTCA